AATCAGTCATACCCTTAAGTGATTAAGTCCTTAATGGGTTAAGTGTTCTTACTTAAACCTAATTGTCATTTTATGTGAAACCCTAATCGTCATTTCACGTGAGGTGGTCACTGTTGCAAGTGACTATGACCTGTGATCGGGTATTGACTCAAGTATCTTCCTGTAGGTGTTTGGAAGTGAGTTGAAGCTGGTAGAGTCCTTCATTGCTACAGTGGTTATCTACGCACATATCGAGGTGAGTTTCGCCTCACTGTGCCCGTGGGTCGAAGGCACCAATGTCGGCCCACTAGTTGTGGTTATCTGCTAGTAGAGGGATGCCCTAGGGATTGTATATGGTCATGTAGGATAGACTAAGGTCTCTTGATCTAAGCTCTCTTACCTGTTCCTTGTTTGGTTGTGGTTCTAGAGTAGGATCACCTGTCTAAGTGACTATCTCACCTCTGAGTATATACGGCCATGCATTCCTTAGATTGTTGATATTTAGTATGCTGTTATGTTGTAGTGATATGTTAGATCTGTGTTCTGGTATTGAGTATCCTGCTACGCTGTAGTAATCTTATAGATCTGTGTTCTGGTATTGAGTATGATGCTATGTTGTAGTGATCTGTTAGATCTGTATTCTAGTTTCGACTATGTTGCTATGTTCTAGTGATCAGTTAGATTTGTCTCCTGGTATTGAGTATGTTGCTTTTGGTAGGGGTAGCAAACTGTGCTATTGTTTCGTGTTTCTGTCAGACACGACACAACACGACAAGGTTTTAAGCAACACGACACGACACAACAGTATGTCGTGTGTTTTTAACTAACACGAAAACGAATGAATTAAAAAATGACAAACACGACACGACACATATAAAATATACTAAAAACTAGTTTATTTAATGAATACTTTATCAAATATAACACGAAAAACACGATAAACATGATAAAGAACTGCTAAATCGTGTCAATTTCGTGTCTAATTTTGAACACGAACACAACATGACACGGCATCGTGTTTTTTACAGTTAACACAAACACGAATTCAAATTTCAGTTTTGTCCCAATTTCGTTTCGTGTCGTGTATTTTTTTCGTGTCGTGTCATAAATTGCCACCCCTACTTTGTGGTAATAACTTGTAGAACTGTATGTTATCTGTGTTTGCTGGTTATCATCTATGGAGTGCCCTTAGGGACTGTCGGTGGTCAGGTAGGATAACCTGATAACTCTTGGTCTAGGCTCTCTTGCTTATTCCTTGTTTGGTTGTGGCTCTAGAGTAGGACCATCTATTCGGGTGGCTATCTCACCTCTGGTTACTTATGGTTACGCATTCTATGGGGGTTAGCTGGTAGTGGGACTGTATGTTGTGAGAGGATTAGTAGGCAGTAGTGAGTTGTATGATTGATGTTTTCCTATATTATGTGCCTACTTGATCCTGATTGTTTATATGTCTAAATATTGTGTTCGGTTGGGTTGAGGCTGTCCTGCTTTGTGCGGTAGGCCAAGATACCCGGTGTGGGTCGGCTATAAGCCGTAGGCACAGAGGCTAGGGAAGAGCGGTAGGGTTGAGGCGGTAGGCCAAAAAAAACCTGCGTATTCCAACCCGATGGCTGATTGGACTTGTTGTATATTAGCATTCCAACCTGGGGTATTCCATCCTGAGGATGACTAGACCCGAAGGTTGACTGGGCCTGGGGTATTCCAACCCGATGGTTGACTGGACCCGACATGTTTGATTGTATATGTGATCTTTTTATATGGTGGTATTTTGGGGGAAGCTCACTAAGCTTTATGCTTCCCAGTTCGTTATGGTTTCAAGTATCATCGGTTATTGTTGGAAGGCGAAGGCGAGACTGTACACACTCATCAGCAACATTGAAGATTCCGTGTTTCTACAATACTCTGATTTTTAATAAATGTAATTTGGAATAAATGGTTTTCTTAATTAATGGATTAATAAATAGGGAAGTTTTATCTTAATAAAAATGAAAATTTTTGGTTGTGAAAATGGAACGTTACATCCATGGGCCACCCCCATGGTCTTTCATGCAAGTATCACAAAGTCAACCAGCATTCTACAATATAATTCGTAGTGGGCCGACATTGGTGCCTTCGACCCACGGGTATAGTGAGGAGACTCGCCTGAACTACTCAACAGAAGCCCAACAACTACCTCAACATCAGAACAGCCAATCTAAACTTCCTAAAACCAAACAATATGATTGTTACGTGATTTAATCATATATTTATCATACTTAATAATATGATTGGGTAGTGAAGGGTTGTACGAAATAACAAATAAGAGGTTGTGATAGGGTTGTGTGAGATAGTGGTTATGATAGGTTAGGGAAAGCCGTGCGAAATAATAAGTTGTGTCTGCCGTGTCTATCCCAAGTATTTTTGTACTACAATGCTTATCCAAAGTACCTTTGTACTTTCGTGCTTAGCTCAAGTACTACTGTACTGTCGTGCCTGCCATGACTATCCAAAGTACTAATGTACTGTCGTGTTGTCGTGTTTACACAAAGTATTATGATACTGTCGTGCCTAATCATCTAGGAAATTTTAGTTGTCTTCTGATAAAGGTCCTTTAAGAATGATCCTTCGAGATCATCGTATTAGGATTAGTAAGAGAGAATAACGGGAGTGGGATAATTAGGTCATTTGAATGCTGAAGAATATATAATTACATATTATAATATTGTGGGTTGAAAACCCTATGTACTCACCAGGTTTCCCAACCCGATCCACTCAGTTTCTTGTATCACAGGTAACGATACGGATGTACTGATTGATAATATAATTATCTGTCGAGAGATTAAAGGAGTTTGTAGGCTGCTAGAATACTGATGTAAGACCCATTTATGCTTATGTTTTGTATCAGTTATAGCGTCCCAAAGTTTTTATAATCAATGGAAAACATTTCTTCGGAAATACTTTTACGGGACCGATTTCCCATTTATGAATGAACTCTCATTAAAATAAGCATACTTAAAAAATTTTAAAATAAGCATAAATTTGTGGATGTCACAATTGTTAATTGACAACCACCGGAAGTATGTCAAAAAAATAAAAATAAAAATAAAAAAGAAACAATAATTTGGGATTTTGAAGATATTTTACAACAAACATTTATCAATAAATTCTATTTTAGAGAAAACGCAATAACGATTATTAAACATAGATAAAAAAAATAATAAGTAAACCATCCCGTGGGTGGTTCACCATGAGATCACCTTCTAGTTAGAATGAATAATTGATTTTGAACTAATTATCCTATAACAAACTTTTTTTAAAAAAAAATTCTTTAAAAAAACAATTTTTTTAAAAAAAAATCTAATAACATAACATAGAAATAAGTGAAATTGTCATAAAAGCCCTTAAGTTTTCCAAAAAGTGTCGGTTTTACCCTTGGATGAGTTTAGGGGTAATAAAGCCGGATACTTTCGCTAAATGTTTCAAATATCCCATTTAAGAGGTTTCACCCTTAGTAGTCGGTTACCCATGTGCTGATTTGGCACTTTAGGTGACATGTCAAACATGGGCCCCATTTTATAACCCTCTCCCACATAACCTTTCCCCCCCCCCCCCCCCCATTTCTTGCATCCTCTCGCATCCACAATATTCTCCCACGCAAAATGCCAACATCTTCTGCAGAATCAAGCTCGAATGTGAATTCACGATTCAAGAAGAAGATTGAAGTGAAGTGTTGGTGTGAAGATTTATGCCCTGTGTTTGTTTCACGCACACCAGAAAATCCAAGCAAGAAATTTTGGGGGTGCCCTAATTATAAGGTAAAAATCATTTTCCCTTTTCTTTAGTAGGATTGCACTAAGTGTATTATGCACTGACCTAATTATGTAGGGAGAAGGAGGTTGTGGGTTTTTCAGATGGATTGACGATGAAGGAGTTCAAAAACAGAATATGATGCCATAGTCAAATCGGCTTACAGAGCAGCGACAAATGATGGCATTAATGTAGACGGTTGTTGTTTTGTTAGGGGCTATATTGTTCATGCTTGTTCTAGTAGTATACAATATTTAATGGCAATTGGTTGTTATGCCACTAGTATTGTGATCTTGAAATATGTAGCTTTTGATGGTGTGAAATATGTAGATTTTGATGGTATTTGATACTTTGGTAGGTATATGTAATGTTAGGATTGTAATTTGTAATGTATGGATGTTAATTTGTAATGTATGGATGTTAATTGGAGTACAAGTTGGTTTGTTTTGTAAGTACATTGCATAAAATGGTATTGTAGTAAATGGATGTTAATTGCAATGTTGGATGATTAATTTCAGTAAATGGAATTTGGAGTACAAGTTGGTTTGTTTTAGATTGAATTAAAATGGTAATTGGTATGAATTTGGAGTACAAGTTGGTGAATGGTAACAATTGTAATTTCAGTCAATGGAATTTGGAGTACAAGTTGGTTTGTTTTAGATTGAATTAAAATGGTAATTGGTATGAATTTGGAGTACAAGTTGGTGAATGGTAACAATTGTAATTTCACTAAATGGAATTTGGAGTACAAGTTGGTTTGTTTTAGATTGAATTAAAATGGTAATTGGTGAATTTGGAGTACAAGTTGGTGAATGGTAACAATTGTTATTTCAGTAGATTGAATTAAATGGTCCCTAATTGGTATGTATTTGCACCTTTGCATTACATTGCATAAAATGGTCCCTAAAATGGTACATTGCAGAAAAAATTGATAAATGGTAACAATTGTTAACTATTTAGTAACTAAAAGATTGAACATAACACAGAAGGGGGTGTATCCATTACATATAGTTTAATTACATATTACCAATATGTAGCAGCCATCCATTTGTACCAAAATGCCTAAACAATGCACAAAAAAGGCAACCTAAATGGTAACAAAAATAAAAATTGGATGCATGCTGCAATCAGTGGGTGTACGAATGTTACTGTACCAAAATCCCAAAAAACAAAGTTTACAAAAGTGACAACCTATACCATTCCCATTACACCCCCACCCCCTTATTCCTAACAAACTACTCCAAATTGATTGGCTTTACAGAAGAAGAACCACCAACATCTTTTTCATAGACACCATTCCTTAGCTTTATCTTGGTAATCCTCTCAGATGTTTTCCTTATTCTCCTAACCATTGGGACAACATCATATTCTTCATCATCACCCTGATTTGCCTCATCATCACCCAATTCCTCAACACCACATTCAGGTCCATCACCATCACCTTCAGGTCCATCACCATCATCAACATCTCCAACACCATGACCTTCTTCATCACCATCACCAACAACTTCATCTCCAACACCATGACCTTCTCCAGCACCATGAAACTTCTCCATCACCATCACCAATAGCTTCATCTCCAACACCTTCAGCTCCACCATCCAGACCAACATCATCATCAGAATGATGACCATCAATAAAAATAATTTACATCCTAGTGTAAAAAGATCTAATTAGTTCACAACAATGACCAGAAAAATTGTTAATTAATAAAAGATAATAGGTCGTACCAGTTCAACTGGTGGCAAATCATCTGATTCCACTTGTACCCCTGGCATAGCTTCTATTTCTGCCATGCTATAACCGACTTCTAGCATATTAGCAATGTCTAAAAGTCCTAATTGTATCTTCTCTGGGAGAATATCCTCCTCTTTGCCCTTAGTAAACTCAATAACCTCGTTATCTTCCACCACATTGTCACCCTTAAGTGGAATGGACTTTGTTTTGTTTGTGAAGTTAACCCTTTGTAAAATTGCATCAATACCTTGTTCAATTTCATCATTTATTGATTTAAGCTTCCAACCAATACTGGATCCTACTTGCCCAAAAGTGTCACTACCTTGCATCACACTTGTTTGACTAGTACCTCCTTCTTGTATCATATGACCATCCTGAATATGAATTACTGGAACTTCCTGCACCACACCTTCTTCCTGCACCACACCTTCTTCTACAACAGTAGGAACTTCTACAACTGGAACTTGTTGAACCACACTTTGACCCATATTATAACCTTCTTCCATGACACTTTCACCCTCATCAACAACTGGAACTTGTTGAACCACACTCTATTGAGTACCTATAGTTGGAGTATTATTCCTAGTTTTTGCAGAACCAATCCTCCCACCACCTCTCCTTGTGCACAACTTCTTCCTAGGTACATCAATACTATTTCTCCTAAATCTTTTAGAACCTGCCTGTTGCTTGCAAACATATGTAGTTGATGGGGGAATAGGATGTTTTCCTGGACTCATCCTCAATGTGTTATGTTTTCTTGGACTCCTCCTCACTATGTTAGAGCACGAAGGTTGACTTGGGCCATTTGGTTTACCAGGGCTTGTAGTATTGTTTTCTCTCATTTTCTCATTTAGTGGTTGGTTAGGAACAGATACATGGGGGATGGGATGTTTTCTTGGCCTTCCTGTCTTCTTTGGTAGGGGAGGTACATATTGTTTTCTCTCATTCCTACATGCCCTCTTGTTATGACCATATTCCAAACAATTTCCACATCTGGTAGTTCGTGAAACCTTCACTTTTGTTGTTGAAAACTTGCTCTCCTTCTCACTGGCATGCCTCCTTCTTTTGGCAGCAGACCTACCAAGCATCCTCCTAGACATTGGAGGCAATGGCTTAATGTATTCAGTTTGGGCCCAAAGATTGCTTACATTAACAGGTTCAATGTTTGTTGAGTAACATTGCCTAAATTTCTCTTTAGAGAAGTATGCATTGATGTATGCATCAGGTGTTTGATGGATAAAATTAATCACTGCATTTGCATGCACACAAGGGATGCCAGCCAAATCCCACAGCCTACATAAATAGGTCATATCATCTAAGTCCACCCTATAACTGCCACACCCTCTTCTGGCCTCAAACACACGTCCTTGACTATGAATTATTCCCCAAAACCTACAATCAAGTATCTAGTTAGTAACAATAATTAATGATTAAGACAAGTTTTAGAAAGCATAAAATAGTACCTCATATTTTTCCCAAATCGATTCATTTTTTTCAAAATTTTTGGACAAACATTTGAATTCCACTTTTCACTTTCATCATTCATGTAAGCAAACATGTCCATGATATAAATCCGTATCTCTTCAAGCATGCTGATAAAAGGTTTTTCCTAGCATCCAATATTATTGAGTTGAAGCACTCTGAGATTGTCACACCCCCAAACCAAGGATGGCGGAAACGTCCGGGGGTGGCGGACTTCATGTATAATATCATAAACAACGAGTATAGTAGTGACCAAAGCAAATACAACCATCATAAATATAATTGAAAAAGTTACACCATAGTATGAGTTTACATTTTTCAAAATCAATTACACTATGATGACAAAATGAACTGTTTGACGCCTTAGCGTCCCATCCTCAAAAGCTGCGGGTTACCCGTTTTACTGATTTCCTGATTAATACAAGTAGTTTTGAAAAAGTGTCAACAATTAAGTTGGTGAGTTCATAAGCTTTTGGATGTAGAGTTTGAAAACCTTTGTTTGTAAATGTAACGTATACTCAAGAAAAATCCAATATTTTCCTTATAAAATGTTATGTAGTCTTAAATCCCAAGACCGAATGTATGTGTGTGTTTCGTACTTGTAACTAGGGATGTTATTCAGGTCGGAACCGAACCGAACCGACCCGAACCCGAATAAACCGAAAACCGAATAAGGGTAATTGTATGAACCGAAAACCAAACCAAGTAAGCAATACGGGTTCGGTTCGGTTCGGGTACTATTCAGTTCGGTTCGGTTACGGCCCGAATAACCCAAATAACATGTACAAGATGATTGAGGAGCCGAATAACCCGAATAACCCGTATAACCCGAATAACCCAAAATAACATTTAGAATGTGATTATAAATATTGTATTTTGTATGACTTTTGTAGCTTATGATTTCATAACAAATCTTTTAAAGAAACAAATTAAAAGATTGAGTAGTAGATTAACACATTCAAATTTCAATGAGTAACATACATAATAACACATTGAAAGATTGAGTAGTAGATTAAGATACAAATACTTACTTGAGTTTCTTGATTTGGAACCCAATTTTCCATGACTTGAATGGGGTTTGATCACACTAGAAACTAGAAAACAAGGATGAGGAGATGATTATTTTTTCCAGACGCAAGGGCCGACTTTTTTTTTATCGTGAATGCACTTTCAAGTTTGAACTTTGAACTAGTGATGATCGATCAATGAGTCCATGTTATCGCAAGTCGCAAGGGCAGCAAACCGCAATCGTTGATCAAAGAGTAATGTCGCAAGGATGAGAAAAAACTCAATCGATCAAAGAGTAATGTCGTCGACTCGTCGATTTGGTGTAATACGCTACTGTCGATTTGGTGTAATACGGATGATCGAATTCGATTTCGTTGATTTTTTTTGGTGTATTACGTGGGTTTTGTTGGGTAACGATCGATAGAAAAGAAGACCGAATAAGCAATCGTGTTAGGAAAAAAATGTGACTTTTCATATTCGGTTCGGTCCTTTTGGACCAAATAAGCCCTTATTCGGGTAACCCGGACCGAATAACCCGAAAACCGAATAAGCCTTATATAGATACCTGAAAACCGAATCGAATTGCTTATTCGGGTCTAATTCGGTTCGAATTTCGGTTCGGTTCGGGTTTTCGGGCCAAATTCTCATCCCTACTTGTAACGAAGTGTGCAGATTTAAATAGATAAAACCCCCCTTTTTAAAGTAGAATTTCCCGTAAACTTTAAATGTGTCGTTATCTCCCTATGTGAGTTGTGACAACCCGAAATTTCTATCTTGAATAGTGTTCAAATCAATCAAGGTTGGACTCATTTTGCTATCTTCTACCATTATTTAGAGTCAATTAGAGCGTTTTAAGCCTAGTACATCCAAAGATCGGGTATTAAGAAGTAACCGCTTGAGTCCATTGTGCACCAAGTATGCCATAAACTTCATCATGTGGAGTTTACGGCCACACCATATGACTTTACGGCTGTAAACTCATGGTGATCGTAAACTCACCCTATAAACATGATATTCCACCCTTTCTTCCTCATTATTCACCATTTCAACCTCAAAAACTCGAATTCTCTCTCAAGTATCATAAGGATCTTCATTTTATTCTTCAAAAATGTAAGTGTTTCATCCTTTGTTTAGTTGATACATCTCATTATCTAGTATCAATCTTTGATTTCATCCATTAACTTCATCTTTTTGGTTTTGAACTTCAAGATCACCAAGAACACCTACTAAGTTCTTGGACTTCAAACACCCCTAAAGGCTTCTAAACTCGTAAGTACCTTCCTTTGTGTATCGCTTACTGGTTATGCTACTCGAAATCATCACATATCCAAGATCAAAGAGAGTTTACGGCTAGGAGCATCTCCCTTGTCCGTAAACCCTTGTTAAGCCTTCAAGTTGGACATAAACTCTTCCTTAAGGCTTGGATCGGGTCTAGAACACTTCCTTGATGTTTGTATGACCTTAAATCACTTATTGGCACAAGATTTCATGAGTTTACGGTCGTAAACTCATAGGGCCGCAAACCCAATGGCCGCAAACTCATGTGGCCGTGAACACATGGCCGTAAACACCATTGTGTGGCCTTAAACTCCTTAGATGCAATCCTTTGTGATTATAACACTTCCATATAAGTGTTTCCTAGTTCCTAAGGTGTGTTCCTTACATGATTAGTTGTATAAACACTAATTATATACATATATGTTCATTATATGCATATTAGGATCCGTTGTGCTCAAGTCTTCACTTGGCACTTAGCATCCTACAATCCGATCTTTCATTCGTATCACTCACTGCAGGTGAGTTCATACCCCTTTAACTTACCTTTTAAATGATTTTAAATGCTTTTATGGGGGGGGAATACAAGTACAAACATTATAGTTATTATATCAATCACATGTGATTAATAACTATCAAACCAGTGGATTTCTTACATTTCAAACTGTGTTATCAAACAAACTGTTTCAAATCGTTTTATAAACTCTTTTACATGATAAATACTTTCTATTAAACTCTTTTAAACTTATACTTTGTCAAAATCATGTCTATATAGATATAGTTATATAAGTAGGATTGAAAGGACTTAGGACTAATAACTCGCCTTATTTCCTGTTCCTTGTTTGGTTATGGACTTAGGGTATCGGTTATTTGTCCGAAGGTCGTTTGAATCTTAGTTATATATTATGTGTATGTATATAGATATTAAAGTCCTTCATTCAGTTCAATACCTTTGGGTAACAAAGGTGTCCAAACATGTTCATTCATACAAACATTATTGCTAGTAAACCTATAATAGGTATAGTTTAGGAAGTCACTATTACTATTTCTAGAACAATGAAACATACCAGAGTCAGTTCATACATGAGTCAGTACATACTATAACGAGAAACAATACTCACTATAAAGAGAAACATAGAGAGTATACTATAACGCGGATCAATACATACTACACACTATACACTAGAGAACATACTACATACTAGACAGAGAGAACATACACTACACTAGTACATACATACAAATACAAGAATACTATAACATTAATGTGAGATACTACTTCATGGCTCGGCAAGATACTGATGCGTCACGTTTTGTACCCAGAGTCTCCTGGAGGGAGAGCGTGAATTTGTGTATAGATCTATACGGGACTGACCCTCCTACACCTTGCTGCTAGCTACAGTGGGACCTGCAGGTCTACGGGTGACGAATGTCATATCATTTCGACATCTCGAATGTTGTGTTTTACTGGTCGATCAAGTATGGTTACAATCATATCACATTTTACCTTAATTAACTAACAAGTTTAAAGGTAGTTAGTACATTGGTAGTTATCTAGATAAAGCTACTGTACATCTTTATTTTTCCCATTTCATTCACAATGTGATCTTCTCACATAATCGGTAATGAGAAACTATATTTTAGTAATGATAGTCATACTTTGGGAAAACTCACACTTTTACAAAAGAACAAACATAGAGAACAGTTGAGTCTTGGTAGAAGGCTACTTTAGTAGAAAATATAGGATTTTCTAGGAAGTTTACAAACATTTACATCAAATACTTACAAACTTTTACATCAAACATTTATAAGTACATTCTTCAACTTATACAAACAATGACACTAAAAAATACTTATGAACTCACCAGCTTAAATGTTGATCTACGCTTTCAAAATAACTTGTATTCTCACGTCACCAGTAGACAGGTACCGATGGCCAGGTTTTAAGAAGATGGAGTACATTCAAGACTCATCTCTTATTTTGATTTACATTTTTGGTGTCTTATAAACTATACAGAACACACTTGTATTAAAATTATTACTATTAATGCAATGGATGATGTTGTTGCTTGTTTACTATTATGCATTGTTGTGATACTGTACATGACGTCCTCCGCCCCCGAACGTTTCCGTCGTTCCGATTTTGGGGTGTGACAGATTGGTATCAGAGCATTGTTTATAGTGAATTGAGTATATCAACCCATAAAAGATATACAACTATAAACACAACAGGATTAAAATACTCTGACCAAGAGTTTATACTTTTAAATAATAAAATATTTAACCAAAGTATACATACCTGCATTCATACTAAAATCAGTGTCACTAGGACAGAACAAAAGTATTACGATTGTTGGACAACACAATTAGGCTTGGGAACTTATAATCAGATCTGGGAGTGATATAGCCTGATAAACTATATCTTTCCGAGAAGTGATTAGCATGTGCCCAGGAATGGTTGTGGTGTTGCAGCAAGTCTAAAACCTTACCAACACTACTACAATTGAAACATTAGAACATAACATAAACTTAAAATACTATAGGAGTATTTTGTGTTACTAAAATTACTTATGTGCAAACTAAAAAGATCTTTATTAGTATGTCAATATTTGCTGAGTGGATACGCCAAGGTTATATGTGACTAGGGTGTTATAGACTTAGAATCTGTGATCTTTGCTTTACTTCCTGTTCCTTGTTTGGTTGTGGGCTTAGAGTTAGGGTCACCTATTCGAAGGTCTATCCTGTTTTGGTCACATATGACTGGTATGTGCTACGCAAATGTTGGAGTAACTGGTAAGGATCATCTTATAATTATCTTAATTAGTA